CAAGACCTTTTAAACTGAAGATTACCCTGGGAGCAACATCTCTGAATGCTGCACTTTTTTGCCTTGACATTTAAGCTGTAATAAAATGGGAACATATAAACAATAGCTGTATACAGTTTTTGTATGGGGCTCCCAGCTTGACAAGAATATGATTTACAGTTTGTGCTTTTGTGTCGATCAGGGGATTGTCAGGGAGTTTTCCACGCTGGATGCAGAAGAGGATGTGAATAAAATAAATGCAGCAGTCTTCTACTCCATCTCCTCCACTCAGGCTGGTCTGCAAGGCGTAGAGCTGGGCAACTACCTCATAAAGCGAGTGGTGCGGGAGTTACAGGTGGGAGATAGTAAATGTAAAAAGGTAAATTAAGTTTGTAAAATTTGTATACAAATTTAAACAAGCAATTACAAAAAAACACAGCAATCGGTAAATATATATGCAGAGTTTTAAAGTCCCATATAGCACTTTACTATCACATTATCACCACATTTCCACAAGACGTGCAGGGAAAGCATTTTAAGCTTCCAAGAATTTAAATCTATATACATGATAGAATGAAATACACATCTCCAGCTATATAAGGTTTAGCTCCACTTCACGCACACTGCATGCCCTGGACTCTTATTCAGTTAAAAGCAAAATCTGTGTATGTGCACATCTGGTGTGTAGCCCAGTTGGTTTTAGGTTTTTATTTTTTATTTTTTTTATAAGCTTTATAAATGAAACAGAATGTAATATTGCTGGGTTTCAGGTGGCATCACAACATTCTATAGGCCAATACCTCTTACTATATGTGGGCAGCTCAAATTAATACTAAAATGCTTTTCTTTCTATCTTTTCATGGCAAAATTCAATCTAATCAATAGGGAAATATGGCTCTTGCCCCCCATTTGAGAGAATGACGTCATCACACTTTTGAAAACAAAATTGAAAAACACCAATTCCTTTCACATTTCTAGATCCAGGCTGGTTCTCAATGGATCTATACAGAAAATCTGTCAGTCTGGTTTCCCTCTGCTGCATCTTGGACCAAAGTCAGAGCAGTGCAGTTAGGATATTTCAGTGGCGCATGGGAGACTAAAGAGCTCATTGGTCATCTATCATTTAAAACTTTTTCAATCTGTCAATAACACCATCTGAACTCTAAAGCGCTATGTTTCTTTGTAAAGTTTTGCACAAGTGTGTACTGTTGGCTGGCCATACAAATAAATAGCTGCTTTCCTGAATCCAAAAACTGCAAATGTCCAATTATGGTGTTGGAACTCATGACTATAACAATGTGAGATTTTAGGAACAAAGCCAGTGAGTTCATTTGAGTAATGATAATGTACCAGGGGCATCAATTCACAAATTGGGGCAGAACAAAACAATGCTTAGACCCAGCTGATGATTTCAACACAGGTGCATCTCTATATAAGCCACATGTTACAAATGGTGGTTTATTTATACGGCTTTGTTCTCACCACAGAGGTTTCGTTTCCTTCTTTCTTTTTTTTTTTAGTTTCCCAAACAATAGAAAGGTGAACATTGTTTCAAGTCACACTTTACATTTAAATCTCATGCCTTATGCATTTAAGATGGTTGAATTGACACAAGTAGATTAATAACAGACTGATCGGTACAAAAAATACAACACATAAACATTCTTTATTTTGAATAGATGTCTAATGATTGCATTGCCACATTCACCAAATCATGTCTTTCTAAAGAGTACATGACATTAATTACAGTTTGAAGCTAAGTCTAACTGTAAATTATATATAGCTATACATCAATTACAAATTGTTTTTCCCAGGACAACAGAAAAATAAAAAATATAAAACATTTACACATTTATTTATAGAATGCCTTTCACAGAGATCAACTTTACAGATTAATAATAAAGATAAAACAGAAATGTTATAATGAGTATTTTTTATTTTAAAGTACAAAAAACACAGACATTAAAATAGAGGGCAGTTAAAACAGGTCAGCAAAGAAAGGCAAGTCTTTACATGTGAGTCTTCAAACACTTTGTGTTTTCAGAGCAGATTTGATGTGTGTACTTTCTACACAATGACCTTTTGTACTGTAAGTGTAACAATAATTGATGTAAGGTTGGGAGATATGGCAACACATTAATTTATATATTTTTAAATGCCTTTCAGTGGAGTTTATAGACTTATCATTGCCATTACTATAACAAAAATAGTCACATTTCTTTCTCCAAGTCTGAAGCACTTTTACTGACAGATTTAAAAGTCTCAAGCATATCAGTGACTATTAAAAATGAATGAATCTCGATAAACTGCACAGCCCCACATGTATCTGTCCTCTCTCTTTAAAAAAAACAACACTAAATTCATACTATATTGTGAAGTACTTGATATTTTATGACTAGCTTTGAAAAAAGATAAAAGCCTATGTATACATTTTATACTTCTTAATGGTATGGAACCGTTCATGGTAAAGTACTTATTATTTCCCTTACGCCTGGACTTGTATTCCACTGACTCAGGGTTTGTGACAGGTTGTATGTGTATGTAAAAGGTGAGGTCTGGAGCATCGCAGGCCACAGAGGAACCATGGAGATGAGGCAGAGATGATGGAGTGCAAAAGAAAAGGTCACTGTGGTGATTTAAGGTGAAGGGAGGTGGTCCAGCTTGTCTTGGTAGAGAGGACCCAAGGGTGCTGTTCAGCCATCGTGACTTTTTTATACTTCCCCGAGAGTCATTTGGAGACCTTGTATCTTACATCGGCTATTCTCAAACTTTATGCACCTCTCAGAAATGTATTTGGCACAGTAATATAGTACAGCATAGTACTTTTTGTATCCAAGAAAATTAAATATATTACCACAGTGACATGCTTTAAGGGTCAAGAGGGTTAATCTGAACTAAACTACCAGTCAAAAGTTCAGTGCTTTTTTTTCTCCTTATTTTTAGTACTTTCTACATTTTAGATACATATGGAAGACATCAAATATATGAAGAAAAATTTATGGAAATTTGTAGTGAAGAAATATTTTTGACAAAACAAAGCATGGCTACTTTGAGGATTTTAATATAAAAATATATTTTTTTAATTATTTTAAATTAAATTTTATTCAACTTTTTTTTTTTTACATACAGTAATTCCATATATTTTACTTACTATTTTACTTTTACTTTGTATATTTGATGTCTTCTGCATGTATAAACTGTAGAAAGGAAAAATGAAGAAAACCCTGCAGTACCTGGTCAAATCTAGATGCATGGACTGTACAATGATAGTAACTGTAGGTCTATTTTGGGAATTGACCTGGATTAAACTTGGACAAAACAAAACTTTAACTGAACCAGGTCTAAATAAAAACAATACTGTACCAAGGTCACCTGGATCTTAACCCAGATTACCGTAAACAATATATCCATAACCTGAAAACAGGGCTAGACCCGGGCTTAAATACAGTGAAATTGAAACTGATGGGTTCATAGACAAATGCTTAACCCCTACACTACAGCCCCCACAAAACATCAGGATTCTGCTCTGAGGAAAACAAGGATTTTTTAATAGTTTATGTACAAACACCATTCCGACTGAGTGGCAGAACCATGGGCAGCATAACACACAAAATGTGTTTTCATGGGAGAATAATTATTTTCTCAACACACAGACTTCGAAAGATGTTATTTAAGGAGAGAGAGGTCTAGTTCAACTGTGCCTGATCTTAAAGTCTGTATCAGTGATAAATGTGCGCGTAGTCTGCAGTGTCCCTGTTGTTGTGCTACTGTTTTTGTGATTTTCTTGTTTTAGATGTCGGGTACAAATTAAATACTTAGCAGAGTTGTAGACCTTTATATTTGTTATTAAACTGTAGCAGCTCTTTCACATTTTAGATGTTTTAGAGCAGCGGCAGTGTCCAGACCAAACTGACTTCATAGGGATCCAAAGAAAATACTCATTCATTAAGTGTCATTATTTAACCTGCCTAAACTGAGGGGGCAAGCATTTTAAAATAAGACTAATGTGCTCTTCTGCACACCTTAGAACCGGCCTGGTTTTGAGCTTACAAAAGAAAAATATCATTACTTGCCACTCACACTCATATAATGTTGCCACTCTCTAATAAAGTCCCAAAGGCCATGAAGTCATCTCCATAACCTCTACACCTCACAGAGAATACCATCAAATGTCTTTTTACCAGCAGTTGTTCCTTTTACCACAGTGTGAGCACAATGCTCCCATACAGTTTTACCACAGGTGCTGCCAACAGTTCAAAGTAAAGGTTAGAGTCAACAAAGCATAACTCTGCAGATTGAGACAGCACACCAAGGGGTAGACACTACACAACGCTGTATGACTTTTTTGATTTTTGAAGTGTAGACAGGGGCAAAATCAAGGCAAGGTAGAAGGGAAAACAATGTGCCCTGAGAGCCATGGTGACACACACGTGGTTCCCTAGGGGGCGCCCTCACACCTCCCCACTTTGATCTCTCGATTTTCACTCCTCTGGCCTGCCACATTGCTCTGTCATTTATCAAGCTAGACTATCAGAAGAGGGGCGGAGAGAGGGAGCAGTGGAAGAGGACTGCTGAGGTTTGAAAGGACAACACATTTTAGAGGTGAAAGTACGAGGGCTTGGGAGTGAGGGACCAACTGTCTGTCTCTGTCAGCTGGGAAGCGTGGATTTTGAATTCACTTCCTGTCCAAGAAGCAAATGACATGACCACAAGCAACAGAAATGTCAGCCTGGTGTCGGGTGTTTGAGCAGTTGTGGTCTGAAACTGTAACTATGGTCTTTGTATTCCAGTGAGGTTCACATGCTGCTGTAAGCTGTCCTTCACCGGTTCTATTTTATTTACACCACATTTCTCTGCTGGAATTTACATTTCTTTTAGGTTTTTTTTGTAGAAAACAGGCTCATAGTAAACAAAATATAGATCCACAGATAAAATCCAATGACCTAACTCCTTCTCTGTGCTGTGACCCCTGTGATTCCAGAGTGAGTTTCCACACATGTGCCAGTTCTCCAGTCTATCTCCCATCCCGGGCTTCACATCGTGGCTGCAGGGCCTGCTGAGCCAGTGCCGTAAAGAGGGCCGTGGTCTGGAGCTGCTGTCGGAGCAGGAGTGGAGGGAGCTGGAGCAGGCCACAGACTGTGCACCGGGCATGGGGGCCATAGACGCCCTGAGGAAACTCATCGGCACCAGTGAGTGGATGCGCTCAGAAAGACTCAGTGTGCTCCTGGAGCCTGTGCTCATGCGCCTGTGTGCCTGGTACCTCTATGGGGAGAAGAGGAGAGGATACGCCCTCAACCCTGTGGCTAACTTCCACCTTCAGAACGGAGCCACTATGTGGAGGCTGAACTGGCACGCGGACACCAGCCCCAGGGGCGTGGCCAACTCTTGTGGCATCATGGTCAACTATCGCTACTTCCTAAATGAGACCTCTCAGAACAGCGCGCTCTACCTGCAGAACAAGGTCATTACAGCATCAGAGCAGGTGCTGAGCATTGTGTCCCAGTTTCAAAAGAACAGCAAGTTATGATATTAAAACAATATTAAAACAATATTGTTACATTTTGATGTAACTAAAAGGCTTCTTATTACCTTAGTTGGTGTTGGCTCATTGTGCTGGGAAAATATGGCAATTTTTCAGCATGATTAGTTGTACATACACAAAGACATAAATATATGCAAGCTGTGCCAAATGTAATTAAAGGTCAGTGTTTTGCATTCGTTTGCTTTCACACATCATATATTTCAAGATTGGATGTTTTCTATCACCTGTTTTCTTGGTGTGTTTTTAAGAGCAGATACAAACTGCCAGTGTCTAGCCTAATGCTGCCTAAATACTAACTGTGTTTAAAAAATCAATGAATGGAATAATACTCCCACATAAAAATAAAAGTCCAATCTGTACAGCTTTAGATATCTGTATAGAGTATTTTGTTCTGATGTTCTGAATGATGCCTTTACTGATAATCTGCTACAATATTTCAACTATCCTGAAATTCAAATTTAAAATCATTTAACATGATTTATGACCTTGTTGTCATGACAGAGGTCAAAGTTTGAATTAAGACAACATCTGTGTAAGATGTATTTGCATGGATCAATATTTGATATTTCATTATATGCTTCTTTTTAAGTTATATCACATTGATTATGTTTTGACTTTCCTTTTGATTAGCATTTGATTGCATTGATTTTGCACTTTTGATTTACCTTAAACTTGAAAAGCCCTTAGTTGTCTCTTACGTAGACAACATTATGAAACCCAGCACTTATTTCATTTATTCATGTTTCTGTATTTGATTTTGCGGATGTGAGCTTTGCCTTGATGCACTTCTGGCTAGAGCTGTATAAGACTGTGTGTGTGCTTCTAACTGAGGCTGTAGCTAATGAAGCACAGGCATCCATCAATGCAGCCCCATGTTTCCGGATAACGGCGTGACAGAGCGCGGCCATTGCAATAAACAGTGTGGTAATGCTGTAATTTGGCTCAATCGCCTGACTGCTGGGAGGCTATTCATTTAATCTACACCTCCAGAGAATAAAGTTGTCCAAGTTTCACCATAGGAAATCTGTTATACTTGTATACTTTAAAATGTTAAATTATGCATTAATAAAACATATTTCTTTGTCAGTGTTCAATAAACAACTATGGTGGCAAAGATATTCTGGCCTGTTTTGTTATTTGTATCTGTTTTCATTATGCTGAATAATGAAATGAAGAGGAAGTTTGGTTTACTATGCCCTTATCAATATCAGAATACAAATGAGTAATGAATAACTCACTTACACGTATTTCCAAGATGCCTGATTTAAATTCAGCAGTTTTGGAAATTTAAGTACAGTCATAATATAATCACAAATAAAGTCTTATATTACACAAAATGGATTCATATGAGTTTTAAACCATGTTGCCATGCTGTTTCCTCTTCAAAAACATACGTGGCCTTGTGTTTTGTTTCACTTACACATTTTTAAGTACCAATAATCCTTTATTATTAGTCTGTCTACATCTCCAAACCTCAAAATCCTTTCCACCTTGTGATGTCATGTAGTGGTAGTTTTCAAGTTAACTACTACTTTTTACCTTTAGTAAGTAAGTAAGCAAGTAAGTAAGTCTTTATGTATATAGTGCTTTTCACAGACATATGTCACTAAGACGCTTTACAGAGCATTATTCAGCATTTTTAATTCACTCTATACCCGGTAGGGCTAAACTACTATTGTAGCCACAGCTGCCCTGACCACCATCACTCACACACCATTTCATACTAGCCAATGTGGGTGAAGTGTCTTGCCCAAGGACACAATGACAGTTTTTTTTGTGACTAGCACCCCAAGTACTCGCCAGGCCCGGCTTTGCTTAGTTCAGTAGAGATTGACAATTCCAGGGCTGAAATGATCCAAAGTTCTAGTGAAGGTGTATGGATTTTATGTCCTGTATTGCCACATGACATCGCAAGGTGGAATAGAGCATTTTTCATTTGAGAGAAGAACTGTTTTTTGAGCAAACAACTTTATTTATAACATAGATCCGAAAATAGCATAATATACTAGTAGGCCCTTTAACAATAGAACACACACAACTGACATTACTTATGGAGGGTCCTTATATTTATTCCTCCCTGTTTGAAATGTGTAGTTTATGTTCATTCATCCTGGTAGCATCTCCATGTCTTTCCTGTTTACTTTACTTACACACACAAGACTAATAATACTGATTTACTGCTAATCTATTGTACCTCTACAGGTGCCAAGCAGGGCTCATGTCCCTTTGTTGCAGAATAATACATCACGCCAAGTTGACTGTGAAATTACATTTTATATCTCCGAGGGGTAAAACTTTCTTTTCACTTCAGTTTTTTTTTTCATGCACTCGCTCTCCCCAGCTCCACCAGCCTCCTCCCCTCCCTCTTTTTGTGGTGCTGTTATGTGTCCTAGAAACTAATGGAGTGAGAAATAAAGTTAAGGCAAATGGCCAGATTGATGGCGCTGAGATGTGAAGTAGGAGGAGAGTAAAAAAGCATTGTTTAACGGATGCCCTTGAGAGATGCTCCCTGGATGAGTAGACATCAGCGTGTCTGTGTCTCTGTGTGTGCGCGCGTGTGCGTGTGTGTGCATGTGTGTGTTCGTGTGCATGTGTATGTGTGGTGGGGGCCCTGTCATGTGGTACGGAGAAAAGAAAAGTGAGTGGTGGGTTGCCATGGAAACAGCATGACTACACCTTCTCAACTTTTTTGTCACCTTTACCATAGTACCTACATATCAAGTGCACAGACAGAATAAAAATGTCTGTTTTTTGGAGCACCATCTTAGCAATCTAGGAGTCTTTGGGCAATATGGTAGGCTACACAGGGTTGAGAAATAAACACTGTCTGACTAGAGTTTAGGCTCTGGACTGGCAACAGAAACAAGCCTGGGTTGGGTTTGGCTTTAAAGCTACCATTTTTAAGATTTTTGTTTTTTCTCCCAGTATATGGCAGATGTGAAACCTGTCTCCCATCCTCTCATCTGTCCTATATTCACCTGTTCTCTCTGCTTTTCTTCTGCCAGGTCAAAACACAAGAGAGGCATTGATAGCATCTAGTGGCGTGAAAATACAACAGGGGTGGGTCAGCCAACCTAATTACAGGTGGTAGTTTTAAATGTAAAAGGATTATGCCCAAATCCGAGGCCATGGTTCTTGACCAGAAAAAGATGGCTTGCCCTCTCTGGGTGGGTGGAGAGTCCTTGCCTCAAGTGGAGGAGTTCAAGTATCTCGGGGTCTTGTTGACAAGTGAAAGAAGGATGGAGTGTGACATTGACAGGCGGATCAGTGCAGCTGCAGTGATGTGGTCACTGTATGGGACCATTGTGGTGAAGAGGGGGCTGAGTCAAAAGGCAAAGTTCTAGATTTACCAGTTAATCTACGTCCCTCCCCTCACCTATGGTCACGAGCTTTGGGTAATGACAGAAAGGATAAGATCGCGGATATAAGCGGTCGAAATGAATTTCCGCCGCATGGCTGGGCGCTCCCTTAGGGATAGGGTGAGGAGCTCAGTCACACAGGAGAAGCTCGGAGCAGAGCCGCTGCTCCTCCACATTGAGAGGAGCAGTTGAGGTGGCTTGGGCATCTGTTCTGGATGCCTCCTGGGTGCCTCCCTCAGGAGGTATTGCGGGCATGTTCCACCAGAAGGAGGCCCTGGTGAAGACTCAGGACACGAGGGACTTGCTGGCCGGGGAAAGCCTTGGGGTCCCCCAGAGGAGCTGGAAGAAGTGTCCAGGGTGAATGAAGTCTGGGAGTCCCTGCTTAGACTGCTTAGACTGCTGACCCTGCGACCTGGCCCTGGATAAGCAGAAGAAAATGGATGGATGGTTGGATTATGTCAAAATATACATCTTGAGATTTGGCAAAAAGGAGGATTGGCTGTCACATCAGATTGACAGATTTGGTTCCTGTACTTAAATCAGTCACCAAATATGACTGTAGAGTGGATGATAGAAATAATGTGTCATGTTTACTGACCCTTGTGTAAAAAAAAAATAATGTATATAATATATATATATATATATATATATATATATATATATATATATATATATATATATATATATATATATTATATATATATATATATATATATATATATATATAATACATTGTATGACTCTATTATACAGGCCTATAAACATATTAAAAGTACAACTCTACATTATACTATATAAAATATTTTCAGCATGCACAAGCTTTCGTGTTGATAGATGTTTCTAACCTTGTGTTCTGATGTGGTTTTTATACATTATTTATCATAAACGAGTCCTTAGGACCAGCATACAACATTCAATAGGGTGAAATTAATGTCTTTTTAAGAGTGTGGTATTTCCTCCACAACTGAGACAAATGGCTTCAGCATAGGACCCATACATTATAATTGGATACATTTGTTAATACTGTATAGCCTAATATTGTGTGAATGTTGTACCAGAAATCCCTAATAAAGACTTTTAATTATTGTTTCAAATATCTTTTTCTGAAGTTAATTCAAATGTTCTGATTAGACAAGTCCCAAGAATTTCATCAGGCTATAGCAAATATAACAGAGAGAAAGTGAAAATCCACAATCAAACAGTAATAAAAATGGATTTCAACATAAAAGCTTTTTGTCTGGACCAGCTGTCAATGACCAAATTAAACAGCAAGTATTCTGATCACTGCTGATTCTTACACAGTGCAGCGGCCTCTTTTCATTCATGTCTAACAAGATTGCAGTTTTGTCACAATTTCAAATCCGGACATGTTGATAATGGATTCCCAGCCAAGTTCAATATCATACATGGAGGCTGTCAGACACGTCTTTGAGCCCATTTTCCCAAAAAGCAAGCCCAAACATAATTAGAATTGATTGGAAAATGTCTGCTCGCCTCATCTAAAAATAATTCACGCAATCTTTGAGTTTTTAAAGGAAGGAGTGGGGAGTGGGGAGTGGGTCTCTCTTCGTGGCTTATTGGGAGGAAATTGCTTTACAAATGAAGCTAATCCATTTTTTACAGAGGAGGAAGGAGAGAGCGGGCCATGACAGGGACTTTTTCACGAGTGATTTATTTTTAAAATATACTAAAAACTAAATTAAAACTGATTTGTATCAAAATTGACCTCTCAAGAATTAAAGGGTATTAGGTGTAAAGAATAGTCGCTGATTATTTCCAGAATTTTACTGTAAAAATTATCCCCTAGATATTTCATAAAACGTTAAGTTTATCACAGGAATTTGAGCATCATAGTGAAATGGTAATGATTTTTAGAAGATAAGTTTAGATTTAATTTTCTTCTCTTTATGTAATTCCTTTTCATTAGTTTGAACTGTTTAAGGTTGTATATCAAGCACATTTTAGAAAGCTGTTACCTCATCAAAAAACATATCTGTAGTTGTGATTTGTTACATTCATACGATACTTTATTAGTAGTCTGTCTATATCTTCAAAGCTCAAAATGCTCTGTTGCACATTGTGATGTCATGAAGTGTTAATCTTCAAGTTAACAGCTACTTTTTACCTTCACTTCAGTAAAGATTGGCAATTCCAGAGCTGAAATTATCCAAATGATTCTAGTGAAAATGTATGGAGTTTAAAAACACAGTGGAGCACCTCCTGAATTGCCAAATGGCCTCACATGTTGTGTTTTCCACCTAAATGTGCAGGGTTTGTGTGTTAAACTAGTGTGAATGAAACAAAACAAAGCTGCATGTATGTTTGTGATGAGGAAACATTATAACACAGATCAGAAATTGAAAAAAAGAACAAAAACAGTGCAATTATTATTAAAAATGCTTTTTGTTTGCATCAGTGGTAGCAGATAAGCTGTGGCCCACTATTCTGCATGCTGAGCTGACTCCAGGAGACAATACAGAGAAATAAATAGATAAACATTATCGATCATGCCTATTCAAGTGGCGCTGTGGGCCGCACACATTTTGTTCATTCTCTGCTCAATTAACCACCAGTACTGTATTATTATGCTAACAAAATAGGAATAATGCAAGTTTAAATTATCTTTTTACTGACTGAGTTCACACATATTTTCTGATCTATGCTATAAGGCTGTCTCCTTATCACAAACAAACAGCAGTTTTCTTCTCTAAAACAGAAAACACTCTGTTCCACCTCCTGATGTCATGTGGCAATA